ACTCTTCATAGTGACCGGAAATCCGACATAGAGTAGCGGATATTTGAATGTATGTTTCTTAGGCAAGAAACGAGCGTGTGTTGTTGAACAGAAAAAGAACAACGGCCTAAACTTTCCAGGAAACTTCTCCTCCAAGTTCATCCGACTGCTCCTCACGACCATCCAAACGAACGGAGCCACCTCGAACAGACATATCCCCAGACACACCAAGGCGAAATTCCTCAAAAATCCAAATGTCAAATCCCAGATGTCGAGCAATTGGAGAGCCGAGGCGAAGACAAGGGCGACAGTCGCGGTCCTGAGAGCTCTAGTCTGGAGTAGCGGTTTGGTTGCCAGTAGAACGGACGATGCGTTGAACAACAACAACCCCCGAGTTAGGAGGTCTCCGTCGCAACACATCGATGGTAGCGGGATCAAGAGACTCCGAAAGTCTCTTGCACACTTCCTTTTCTTCCAACCACACACGCACACGCCTGATGTGAAATACTAAGATATGTATCGATAACACTAACGATATGTATGATTTCCCAGTGGGCTGGTTTTGCTCGGAGTAGTGACAGGAAGGATTTCTTGATGTGCCTCTCTTTCCAGTCAGTGTTGCCTCTGCCCCTCAGTCTGTGGTGTCTCCGGAGTGCAAGTACTGTTTTGCTGTGTCGGAAAATTTCCTGTATAGTGTTGTATCCCCGCGTAGGGTAAAAATGTGGGAGAGCCGCTTTTGTATATGTGGGAATGCCGAGAGGCCAAAGGGAGCTATCACTCCGTTGGGTTTGGGGGGGGGGGGGTGTGTGCTTGTGGCAAGTGTGTGCAGCTAGTGGTGACCCACGGGTCTCGATTGGGAGGGAGTTATACAGTTTCCGGTAGAATTATTGCGAAAGTCAGAGCTAAAAGAGTGGATTTTGTTGGTCTGTGCTCGTAGCAAAAATCTTTGAAAAGCCAATAGGACTATCGGGTCACGGGGAACCCACTTTCGCAATAATTCTACCGGAAACTGTAATCACAATGCCTGGGGGGTTTTATGTTTTATGCTGATGATGCGTGTTCGCTCGTGGTAGATTCGTTCCCTGGATGTCGCATGATATAGCTTTCTTATTCTGGCCCTTTTCCAATTCAAGGCTGTACGTGCGTCTGAGGGAAACCGCCGAGGTCTGCGTCTTGTATGTATGTATGTACGCAAAGTAAAGTAGGTAGTATATAGTAAGAATTAGATGCGTCTACTTTTATGGTCCTATTGGGACTGTGCAGAACGACCAATGAGATATTATACAGTTTAAGGTTGGTAGAGTACAGCGACGATATAGTATCGAACTGCAACTGCAACTGTATGTACTGTACTGACGATCCGGGTACTCGTAGCGGTGGAGAGCCCAGCTAGCCAAAACAGAGGGAGAGGGACAGAGGAAACAGGTCCAGATTTGATGGAATTGGGGAGAGGTGAACAATTGGACTGAGTGATCGTCGACTAATCAGTGGACAGGTCCGGGGAGAGGTCCTTGTACGGACGATATGTACGTACGTAGATAGACAAGGTAAGGTAAGGTATGGTATGGTATGGATGTACGAGGGGGGGAGGGGTGTGTGGATATGAGTGGGATGTATGTAATGCGTGTGTGAGATTCTCGTCTGGACCTTGATGCGGGGGACGAGAGCGAGGAAGACGATAGTGTCTCTCCTTCTTTGCTGCCTTCTTCTACCAGATCAATTCGGGATGTTCCTACTAATACTCGACGAGATGATGCATAATTCCAATTTGGGGTAGATTGATTTAATGATTGAATTGCGAAATGCAAGGAGTTCAGGGAGAAAGATGAGGAAGGTATGATGGTGATGATATGATATGATGATGCTGGAGGTTTCACGATACCACATATAGGATGACAATGAGGACAAATGGGAACAAAAGTACAACGCAGTGCAGGAGAATCTAGCGAGGAAGAGAACCGAACTTGAAAGCTGTCCCTCTTTCAGATTATTGAATTGTCGACAGCTGTGGGGACTTGGATCCACAGTCAATGGTCCGTCCCGGTCACAGACTGGGGAGACATTGGCAGCATTTCAAGGTACAGGGCAGCAATAGTAATAGTAGCCTGTGATAGCGTAAAGGGGGGTGTGGATGGATGGGACAGAGGCAGACTACCAGACTGACTGAATGAGGTTTGTCTGTCTGTGGGGGGGACTGACTTGTTGCTGAGGTTGGCAGGTTGGCAGAAGAAAAAAAGGGAAAACACTGGTCGTGTCCGTAAGGGAAACCATCCCCGAGCACCAAGACCGTCAGAAGCTTCAAGCATTTGTCCCTGGTGTCCCGGTATTTTGGTGTTGTTGTGGTAAACGGGGCTATATCTCAAATGGGTCCGAGATCCGAGACAAGGCTCGGAGGACGACACCTAAAGCAGGAGCCAAGATACATAGCGCCTCATTAACGGAACCGAACCTTTTCACTACAGTTTACTACCGCGTTAGTAGAAGGGGAAGGGAAAGAAAAGCACGGTCATAACTAGAGTTTTTTCTTCATGAAACGGCTGAGTTTGGGCTTTTATTTAGATGTAGATAGTTAGCTGACAAAATCTTTATTCAGTACCAGAGTTCTTCTCTACTGAGGCGCCAGACTAATATTTACTAGCAAAAAAATCACAATTGATAAGCGTAGTAGCACGTGCAGTTCTACTATTTAGTTGTGTGTACCTGGATGGATGGATGGCTGACTAGTGTCGGAGGTAGGGACTGCGGTTGTGGAGCCTGGGCGATGTGGGGGAATTATTCACACGACATTGCCTTGCTACACGACGTCGCCCTGCCTTACCATGCAATTCCTATATCAGTTCAACATCCGCAATCGAAAAGCCACCTTCCCAAATATAAGTCAGCCAGGTAAACGCTTACGGTCTCGACAACAGTTTCCACCTTGTGCTGGCTGACGATGTATGCGCAACCCACCTCTCGTTCGATTAAAGACCTCCACCACCCTCCAAAAAGCTGATCCGGATCGCTCAACCGGGGTACCTACATACATACATCAATAAAAGGGCAAAAAAGAAAATACAAGAGTACGCCCGCGGCGCCACTACAGCTGTTTAAGCTTGTGATCGTTATCCGCGATAAGGTGCATGGCTGGTAGTACCTGTGTTAGGTATCTTGACATGAGGCAGCACCACACTGAAGGATGGGGCGACAAAACTTAATCGTGAGGGGAAAGATGAACGTTTTCCTCTCGACTTGCCTACTGACGCAACTATTCCGCGATGCGTGATATTAATTATCATGTCAGGGGCCTTGGAAGTCAGCCAATTATTTTCTTTGTTCCATCTCGAGCTTTAATTAGGTGGTGGTGTGTGCAAATATTTGTATTATTATGTAGGTTTCCTGCCTGATGACGAACGAACGAACGAATACAGCTGCATGCTTTGCGAGCTGTCAGAACTCATCGCTCCGCCTAATCAAGCCCTCGGCGCCACCGCCATCATCATCTTGGGACTCGGAAAGCTCCGAGAACCCTGAACCTGAAATCTGAACATAACATGAGCCACACTCCTCCTAGCTAGAGACCAGAGCTAGTACCTGATCGATCAGTCATTCAGTACCTCTAACAACCTCCTTGCCCAAGATGAACCCCGTTTTACGGCAACCTCACCGCGCGAGCACGACATGGACCAAAACGCAAACTGTCAAACAGCAAATAACCATGATCAAAACCTACCTACCCTACGGGTCCAATCTTAAAAAGAAATAGTAAGGGATTTGAAAAGATAAAAATAAAAAAATAAATACATAATAAAAAAAAAAAAGCGTGGAGAAAAACGATTGTGAGTTTCGGCTTCTCCCCCCCAGGGTCTCTACTATCATCGCATCGCCCTGATATCGCCCTACCGTCGGCCTCGGATGACGATCCTTCCCGTCGCCTCACAATCGGGTTCCGTCCTGTTTGTTGAGGTCCTCGCTTAGGTAGGGTTCAATTGAGTATTGGAAATTAATATATTTTCATCGCCCCCATCTGCATACATCGGGGCCCCCCTGATCCCCCGGCCCTTCCTGCCCTGCCCGCACCTTTCGACATGATCGACATCCACGATGCAAAACCGTGCAAGGGAAGGGGAAGGAAAGGCTAGATACCGAGACGAGACGTCGCCGGAAGGCACTGTTTACGCTTACTTTTTCCAGCTGTCTTTTCTCCTCCTCCCTTCCCTTCCCTTCCCTTCCCTAGCTCAACTCCTGGCCTGACTGCTGCTACTGCGGCTCGTTTAGATCTCGCGGTGTTAGATTTGCCCCAATTTGATTTGATTTGATTTGCGTGCACCCCAAGGAAACGGGAAACAGGGCTGCAAGGGCTTCTCACCTCCACTCTAGCTTTTCCTCGATCCCTGGACTGTTGCTTTTTTTGTCTTGTGAGGAATGGAAACACCCCTCCCTCCCTCCATATGTCTGTCTTCCCAATTCAGGGGAAACTCCCCGAGATCTCATGGAATTGACCCACTTTAACTGCTACAGACAGAGCAGAGAGAGGTGGTACACAAAGGAATCGTCATGCAACAATGGCATTACACTGTCTTTTCTTTACTGTCTCTCAATCGACTCATATTCTGTTCCGTTCGTCGGTAACAGATTCTCGTTTGATAGTCAGTCAAGCGCAGTGGGGTCGTGCAGCCGAAGTTGGGACCGGGGAGGGAGGGGGAGGGAGGGAGGGGTGTGGTGATAGTAAACGAAACGTTTTTTCACCGCTCGCTCGCGCGAGCAAAAAACATCGACTCACTCACTAACAGACAGACACACACGCTAGAGGAATATTGACAGCGGCGCACGTGCAACTGTTTTTTATTTCGTTTCACCGCCAGAACCACAAACAATCAAGGCCCCATACCTACCTACCTCCCAGGGAAGAAAAAAGGGAAAGGATATTGGAAAGCAGTAACAACACCGACGACCGGGAGAGGCAGGCTCCAGGCGCAGCGGGTCACGACTCACAAAACCTCTCTCTTTCACTCAAACCCTTGCGGCGCGATAGTTACTCATCACCAGGAGCGATTGAGTCGACGGCAAGTCCCGCCCAAGAAATAACGACAAAATAAAAGCTAGATGGCGTGTTAATATATAAGTACACCTACCTAGATCTCAAGCTGAGACTACAGTACATACGATCTGGCCGCCGCCGCCGCCCCCATCCCTCCGGAGGTTTCCCAGAATGAAAGATGGGGGTTCGAGGTATGTGAGGTTGATGGCTGAATCTGAACCCCTTCCCGAAAGCTCAGGACCACCAAAGCGATTATTCACCATCCCCCTCACCCCGTTTTGATAAGAGGAGCAGTGCATGATTGCAATGGACCGATGAGGATTACTAACGATGTCGAAAAAAACTAAAAGAGAACAAAAACCGGCTTTTACAAATCATTGACCGGTAGATGGATTCAAACTGAGCTGACAGTTGCATATAAAACTTATATAAACACCATCTATATATATGCTCCACGCGTTCGGAGTTTAATTGGGACAGAAAAAAAAACTGCCATCCCCCCTAACTAAATAACGTTCGTACCTACATTCATATGTATGAAAAACCAGGTATGGGGTGTGACATACAGGCCATACCCAGCAAAACAAGCACTACATATTATACGCTGTACCATCTGTGGTCGGAATTCACTAGTGGTTACACCTCCCTTCCCCTCCTCTCCCAAAAGCAAGGCGATGTAACGGGATGCTATATCTCGTATATCAAGATCAGATCTCTCTCCGCCGCGGGGGACCCGAAAAATTCCGGGTGACGTTTCGTTTCGGAAGGGGACAACATGTAATTTATTATCTATATCTATATTACCGAAGAAAAACAAATGGGGTTTTTGATTTTGTTTTTTGTTTATATATATTTATATATACATATATTGATTTTCATGCAACTGTAGCTGGATGGAATGGATTGGAAATTAGGCTTGATGCATACAGTATTGTACATCTCATGTCGTGCTACTGCTACTGCTACTGCGACGAATACGTGCCTGGATTTATGGATTTAAGGTTCCAACTGCCGCGGCGGCGGCGGCGATGTGATATTGGTAATTTATGTACATGTAGTTATTGTTGGTGGCAGTAGCCGTGGTAGTGATGGTTGTTACCGTTATTTTAATTGGCTACAGCTATAGCTACATGTACTGTAGCTACAGCAGTACCGTAGCTAGTAGCTTGCTTACCTAGTAGCTACCTACATCTCTCCCTACGTTCCTAAACATAATTTTAATTATAACGAAAAGAAATTGGCATCTCCTGCGTTGCTTGCAGATCTAAAATAACACTCATCCCTCATCCCCCAGCGCCCAAAACCCAAACCCAAAAAGAAGCGTCTCGAAGCCCAAAAATAAGCGCGCCACCACCAAGAGAAAGGGCGAGAGCAACGACTGGTTACCAATCTCTCCTCCCTCCTCTCCACACTTCCCTTCCACACATCATCCAAAGGGGGAAAAACACACACACTCTCACACACACACAAATTGGTACCTGCATCTACACGCTAACGAACGCTAACCCTCTGCCCATCTCTCCACGGCAAATTACGTGTGCTGCGCGCGCGCGACCTTGACTTACTAAGGTCTTGCGGTTCCCTGACCTAGGTTCGTCTACTCCACCACATAGGGTAGACCCTTTCTTGCCAGTGCGCAGACGCAGGCAGACAGGCGGTTGCGCGTTAGAGCAGTGGAGCCGTCGTCGACGACGTTAGTTTTAACGCTCGAGCCACATATTCCAAACAGGTCCCGCACCCTTTTTCCCGTTCGAAACGGGAGGTGCAGGCAGTGGAAAGCCACCGTTGGAGGAGAAGGGGGGGTGGGAATTTTCAAGAGATTAGGGCAACAGGGACGCACCAACCCGGATTCCGACAGGACAGGCTACAAGGAACTGAGGATGGGGTTGGGTTGGGCGCGCCCCTAATATGGGTCAGTGCGGGTTGGGCTGGGTGAGTGAGTGTTCGCCGTCCATCTATCGTGCAGGAAGAAGGTCTCGCTACTATAGAGTACTCTGCTCTAGTTAGAGAGCACTAAAAGATATCGCGATGCGGTAGAGTAATAATGTTAGTGACATTGTTGTCTGTTGCTCCACTACCACCACCACCACAGCTCGACTCTACATCCAGATGGACTCCACAAATAACGAATGTTCCACTCCCCTGATTCAGCTCCACGAGCGTCACGCTCTCATTCCTGCCCCTACTTTTAGAAACACGAGAGAGGAGAGGAGAGGAAGAAACGCAGGGCGGAAGAAAGAAAAATGAACCAAAAAAAAAAGAAGGGGGGGGGAAGGCCGATCGACGCAAGGGTTGTGTGTGTGTGTGTCGCTAACATAGGTCGCGTGGTTGATGATCATCCGTCGCACAAGTAAGGTCAGGGCAGGGCAGGGGGTGCACGTAAATTCAAATTCGCTGCTCATTTGCCCGCCCTACGTACGCCGCCCATCGTTTTTCCCCACCCGCCTGCAAAGACGATTCCCGAACGAAACAAAGGGTTTCAAGCCTCATGAGCGCCCACAGAGGAAGAAGGCGCAGAAGAAGAAGGGGTAGGATTAAAAAAAAAAGGGCGCAAGAGTTATTTGTAGAATTCCTCACCCTTCTTGGGGGCTCGTTCGCATAACGACACACAGCTCGAAATCTTGGTACAATAGGGGGAGGCCGCCGCGATCCGAAGTCGCAAGTAGGAAAATCGTTCAGAACGCCTATCGTGCATGCGCCACGTGGATTTCGGGGTCGAAGAGAGGAACTGCACTGGAGCGAGGTCCCAAGAGCTTCTGCTGCATATTCGACTACCACGCCTTGTGGTCGTTGTAATAATTATTATGTATGTACCCTACATAAGAGCCCTAATGAAAGGGTCTGCTGTCAAGAGTGGGGATTGGGCGGGTAGAATCGCCTTATGATACGTCTATGGCCTCTGATTGATTAGAGTACAGCATTTACTGAAGCTATGAGTATGCATAGTAACGGCCGATACTCCTTGGAAGGGTCTTACAACCAAAAAAAAAGGCGGCAAGCATGAAATGATGCGGAAATGCAACCGGAAGATCCCATCTCAAGAGGAGAGGGAGTCTTGGAATAATGACAAATTCGGACCTCCCCAGATTTCCTTTTTTGACGATGATGGTTGTCTTGACATATCTTGCATACATCGAACATGTCGGGTTCTTTCTGGGTTTTTTCTCGTCATGATCTTCCGGGAACGAGTCAGAAACCTACATTGATTCTGATATATGCAGGTCACCCCAAACATGAGAGTGTCTGTGACCCAGGGTGGGTTCACAACTGTCAAGACTTTTTTATTTTTTTTCTCGGAAACCAGTTGCGTGATTGTAGGCGATAGGCCTCCGCTCAGCTATGGTTGGTTACCTTTAATTAATGTCAGGTAGCTTTACCAATAGGTGTTTGTATCACCCCTAGCCCTGAACGAGGGAACGTCTTGCATATCTTTGTGATTCGAAAGCATCTTTAAAAACGATGTTCCTAATCCGCGGTCTGGACTTGGCCCCCTCCCAACAACGTGATCTTTAGTTCAGTTCATCAGAGACACACAGGTACCCGGGTGATTTTCCAGCTATGCATGGATTCACTCTTCTTTTTTGGGGCGGAGCTACCCGTGAAAATCGGAAGAACAGAACCTAATCAAGCGCCGCAGCTGTATGAAAAATATCCGCGAACGTTGAACCAGTAGATGACGAGCTGCATGGGTTGTCACTCGGGGCGAAGGGCACTCTAGCCCCAAGCCAAGCCAAGAATCCCCCAAGAGAAGGGAGATTACGCACGTGTTACTGCGATAATTGCCGAGATTCGCCGTCTTGACCTTGAGGTGTTCTTTTTGTTTGTGTTATTACGAGGAGATTTCCTTTTTTTCCCCTTCCTTCTCAGCTCCGTAGTCTGTACTCTAGTAGGGATTCTTTGTGCCCTAAATATGGGTAGAGATATATATTGCAATTGCAATGGAGCTGCCAAGAGTCGTTTGGGTGCATCCTAGGGGATTGATAGGTTCCAAGGGCAACGAGGCGGATACAGGGTAACAATAAAAATCAGCTCGGACAAAAGGATGTAGAGATATGGGTCTCATATTTCTTATGGCGACTTTGTATGGTGGATAGCTCCGCTGTTAACAGCTCAATACGTACCGATATACCCCCCCCCCCCCCCCACAACCTCGTGTAGGTATTATGTACCACGTCAGTAATGACAAGGGTGGGATAGGTATGTACTAGTAGAGTACTCTAGGTACCTAACAAGTACTTGAGATTCCAACACAACTAGCGAAAAAGGCGGGCGCATCTGCACAGTACGTAGTCAGGCATAGGAATTCTATCACGCGTCGTCAGGGTCCTGCTGTAGGGAGGAGCAGATCGAGACGTTGCCGGGTGTTGTTCGCGCGTCAAAACCTCCCCCACAGTCTGTTGTAAGCAAAATTTCGTGCATCGGTACATGTAGGCACTGATCTAGAGCATCGCCTTGAAGCTGTTGTCGGAGCCGACGGAACGGGGGAGGGAGGGGTGTGAGACTGCGCGCGCACAGTACAGGTACATACACACATGTCAGACTTTATCCTTCTTCTTCTTCCTCAGCGATTGCGCATATGTCGGAAAGACTTGACATGTATCGCCTCCGGCATCTTGTTATTAACGAGTTGCAGGACGCTGTGCTAGGACGTTGAAAGAAGCTATGTCTTGCCAATGTTTGTAGCTGAAATCACGACCCGTATCGGGTTAGACCCAAAGCGAAACCCATCAAATTCCTGTCCCTTTTTTATTTTCCCAGATCCAATAATCGCCAATAATTCGGTTATTTGCGCCCCTATTGGTCGATAAGACAGCCTGTCGCCAGTCGCCCGTCACCTCCGCGTTTCGACTAACCAACTATCACTCTCCTGTCATTATCTGCAGGGCCATTTCCAGGAGAAAATAAGTAAAGTACCTCGATAGATGCCGCACCATCCGTAGAGGCTGCTGGACTACCGCTAAATCTCGAGTTATTCGGGGGGTTGCCAAGGCAAAAAGCTGAGGATCTTCACCTTTAGAGGAAGCGATCTTCAAGAAAACAGCCCTCTTTTACAGGATCTAAACTAAATCTAGTTTAGCAGGTGGCCTTGGCAACCCCCCGAATAACTCGAGATTTAGCGGTACTGCTGCTGATGATGGGTCTTTTGGGTATTTGATAGGTCTGGGATTTTCCGTGCATAAGTTTAAGCGAAAGCCCAACCATCCAATGCAAGCCGGGGGGCCTAGCTTATTAGCCTTTTCCCTGAAATTCGGGATTGATTGATTGCCATCTTGGCGGTCTTGGAAGTGAAGGTTCAAATCGTCGGGAATAGGTAGCTAGCCAAGAAAGTGAGCATGTTATTACAAAGTCAAATTAGCACTTACGAGAAAGGCCATGGGCCTAGAACAGCAGCCCAATGACCCCGGTGCGGCGGACGTATTTGTAATCATGGATTATCACTCGCTGTTGACCTCGATCGGTTTTGACTGCAACCATCGTGATGGGCGAAGATTTCGTGATGACTTGCCTTAACTGATAGTCCCGACAGTGTGTTACTGCAAGGCAAATGTTCCGTTAACCATCTTTGATCGCCGGCGCGGTGTTGATCATAGATAACAGCAGCCGCTAGTCTACGAGGCCGAGGTGCTTCGTACCCAGCTCGCGTCGAGATTCCTCCTATGCCTCCTAGATAGAGGACGGAAGATTCTGAGTATGGTCGAGTGCAAAGGAGAGACGAGGCTAGAAGGAGGTTTTGTCAAGTAGGTGTCGGGGATGGACGGTCATGTGAGCGAGAGAGCGGTTGACAGCAAACTCGCTGTCCACGGGTACATGTAGTTCCATTCCACACATACATGGCAGAGACAGACAGACAGACAGACATCGGTTAGAGACACGCAGCAGCTAGCAGCAGGACAGATGCACCATGACTGCATGTTCGACTGCGCTGCCACATGTAGGCACAGGGAGATCTGTTAAACTCAAACAGCAGCCAACGTCATCCTTCTGCACTTCCCCTTCTTCCCCTTCCTTCTTTCTTTCCTTCTTTCTCTTCTCTTGCTCTTTCCATTCCATCCCCCCCTTTCTGTTCCAGTGATCGCCAACCAAGCCATACCAAAGCATGCAAGGGCCACACAACACACCCACACACACTGAATCATGAAAACTCACTCACCCGCCCTGCAGTTCTTGGCACGCACCCCCGTGCTGTGATAGGCTCTCCACAGAACAGCCAATGGAAGCGAGGAAGTACTGCACTGCAACTGCGCCGTCTATATACAACACCCCATCATCACCACCACAAACATCTACACCTCGGACATGACGTTTCACCCCCAGCTAGAGTACGTCTCTACCACAACGACGGGCCTCTATTTTGGGCGTGGTGATACGTACGTATGCCGAAACCGATCAATCAGCTCATGGCTCGGCGGCGCGTACGAGATTACGACAGTTCGGCGTTGGGACCGTATGTCGGTCCAGATAAGTAGATCACAGCATAGCCCGCCCCGGACCCGGGGCTCGTATCAGAACGGGACCTCAGAGGGCCAAGGCTCTGGGTGTGTGATTGCATCATTCGATAGGCTTTGTCGCTATCGTAGCAAAATATTGGGATTTACCGGCCGCCTGGGCCCGGGGGCTTTGTAGATCTGGTAGGCGGGGTTATCCGTACCTGCGGGGGAAGGCTCCGGCTCCGCCCGCTGCGGTCGGGCGGTTGTAATGCGCCCGGCCGGGTAGGCCTGGGTGTCGAGTCTGCGGGCATCCGGCTCGTTTTCGGTAGTAATAGGAAGAGAGAGGAGAAGCTTTGTGGGAGTGATGGGAATGATGAGAATTAGTGAAAGAGAGAAAAGATACCACTAACACCCGGCGGGCGGCCGCTCAAGATCACAGTGCTTTTTCAGCGTACCCGACGGTAACTGCTTAGATGTATACGTAGTTGATCCACGGCCCCGAAGACCCGACTCCCTCTCTTGAATAAAGGTAAAGAAGTATCTCCATAACCGACAGGAGTTGTTTATATAGGATTTATCTACTACAATATACGAATGTTTTAATAGCTATGGGCCCTCATTGGCCATAATGGCGGAACCCCTAACCCTGTTTCCAGCATTGAAGGTTATATGGACATCAAGTGAAGGAAAACCAAACCTACTTCCGAGTTGTAAAGAGGCAGGTCTGGCCATGGTATCGGTACATAATCTACCTCCATAGCCAAGATAGTCTCCCCTTCTTGAGTGACCCGGGTGAGGTCATGATCTCCCAGCTGTAAATTCTCGATATAAACCTTTTGATCCCCCCAATAGCCTATTATATTACATGTAGTACTTGACTGTATCACCGCCTACAGAGGCGGAAATTAATTCCCAGTATACGTTATTTAGCAAGTAGTCAGCACACTATAGGAGATAAACGTCAGATCTCAATTGACGCATTATTATTTCTTTTTTTTTTACTTTAAATCACCTCTTTAATTCGAATCTTACCTCGTAAGTATACTCTACATAGAGTATATTAATCCCAGCGATATTAGACCATCCAAAGAGTAGTGGTGGTGATGAAGAGATAGCCATGTCACCAACACTTCCGAAGACTGACGGTACCATTGTGAATTTACATCATGAGATATCACTCGCACTCAAGACAGCTTGGACCCGTCCGGCCCTTATACGAACCGTCCCCATCACGCTTTATAATAACACCCCCGGCTTTAGCATAGCGCCGTATCGTATCTGTCGATGCCACTACCCCTCCCCCCCCCGGTTGTTCCCAAGGTAGGTTGATTAACAACATCCCAAGCTAGGACGCTGCGTGAGGTGATACCCCATGATCCACGCAAAAACGAAAAACAAGATGGGCTCAGGCCCTCTCCACAGTCCTCCACCGGTCATCTATAGCGTATAGGTGACGCCTCTACTTTACCAAAATTGGAAAACATAACCTTTCCCCTCTGTTAACAGCGGTAGTCACGGGTAGTATAAGTATACTCATGCCCACCCACACCCGCCCAGCCAGCCACGCACATGGCACTAGGGTCTACTACAATGCATATCGAGAAAACCGGCCCCGCAACAAAAGAAGTAACCGCCCCTCCCGAGTCTCTCAAACAGCAGCAAAGCATGGGAGGGAAAGGGGAGAATCGGGGCAACCCACCTGGCCGGGATACCCTCGCCATCCCGCCTCACCCTCTACCCCGCGCCAGACTGTGCAGCTCACCCCACCCCACCACAGATAACGAACGACCCCGCCTAGATTTTAAGGCGGTAGGAAACACCCAGTCTTGCAAAATATCACGTATGGATGGGAGAGCTATGAGGAGACAGAGTGAGGCAAACAGGCCTATAAGAGGTATATTTTAACGACATCGGGGGTATGAAGCCCTCTACTATGGATTGTAGCTTTCGAGGGGGGGTATTTATTGACGGGGCGCTGTAGCTGATGATGAGCAGCAGCAAGCAGTATCCCGTACAGTGGCGTGAAATCTGCCAAAAACAAAGCTCTTGGAACTGGAAAAAGGCCCTGCAGGGCAGGGCAGGCAATGCAGGGGTAGTTAGAGCGCGCGAGAGAGAAATGCCAGAATTACACGCAAGTAGGATTTGCACCAAATCAAAAAAAAAAAAAAAAAAAAAAAAAATGTAATGTAGTGTAGTGTAGTGTAGTGTAGGAAATAATTTAAATGAACTAAAACGAAGATTGATAATATCATGAGCCATCATATCGATTAATCAAGCTCAAAGAAGAGGTTGCCCCTAAAGAAATAGTAACAATGATCTCATCCGTGGCTATAGCAAAACTTTTTCGTTCTTTCCTTATCCTCCCGTACTAACTGGTTGGCAAGGTATAAAGGAGTAGGGTTGTAAGAGGATTGATATGCCGAAAATAATATTTCGTTGATATCAATCAGGAGACATAAAAAGAAAAATTTGAAACTACAGAAAAGGTCCCCCAGCCCCAAACAGGTAAAGAAAATGATATAATAACAGAAAATGGGGTATGCAGACCATGTACGAGGTATACTCCTCTACCCTGTTACATAAACGTGATCATGAGAGATACTATGATGCAAGAAGAGTGAAAGAATGGGAAGGATGGACACACCGCCAAGTAAGTACGCATATGCCATGCGTACGCTAGGTAGGGCACACAAGATAAGAGAGAGGATATAAAACAGAGCCGTAAACCAAAAGGAAACAGTGATGTGCAGCCAAATAAGCCGTGAATAGGGATCTGTTCACCAAGCTTTTGGAAAATGGTAAAAAAAAAACGTCCTAGTAGGGCGGTGCTGTAACGGAATACTGTGTTCGACATCAGGATATCAACGCTCGCTGCCTTATTATCGCGAAACAAACATCAAAAGTAGGAAACAAAAGAAGGGAGGGAACTGTTACCCATGGATATTAATTAACCCCACTCACACCTCCACCACCCCTGCCACCACCTGCGCCCTTACGTCGTTCCTTCTTCTTAACAATTCGTCCTCCTCTTGGCCGTTTTGGCTTCGTAGGTCCAACTTGAACTCTCGGTTGTTGTGGCTGCTGGTTTTGAACAGGCCCCGGAGGCTTCCCGTCCGCAACAACCTTGTTCACCTCATTGGTTGCGTTGGGGGTTGCTTCAACTGGCTCAACACCAGAGCTCATACCTGCATTCTGCTGACTGTCGTTTGGCCCAAAACCATACATCCACCCTGCATTCGCATAATCCATGTGCCCAGGAACCCAATGCATTGCCTGTGGGACCGGTAAACTCCCACCCATGAATGCGGAGCCCTGGCCTTCATCGTGCTGCGAGAATACGGGTGACGGCTGAGCCGAATGTTGATATTGCGTTTGTCCTGGGTACCATGGCTGTGCATTAGGATCTCGTATATTGGTATTTGGAATCATGGGAAACTGTTCAGCCCAGGGTGTCTGTGGATGACCTGGCGCCATGGGATACCCAGGTCCCCAGCTCATATTGGGTGCGCCTTCTGAAGACTCCGGATAGCCCTCATTGCCATATCCCCACCCTTCACCTTCGCCTTCACCTTCTTCTTCACCTTCCACCTCACCTTCCTCGCCGTTTTGCTCATCCCATGGCTGCTCCATTCCTATAGAGAAATCACTGCGGGAATTACGGTGCTGGTGCCGAGAATTCCAGACATTCCCCCGATCCTCGAGCCGGAGTTGCGAAAGGCCATGATCATCCTCATCGACAGGGTTGTTAGCTCTTACGAGAGTACATTCAACCGCTTTTCTTCCTCGCGTCCAGACATCTTCCAGGGTAGCACTGATACCCGTCCATTGGGGTTCTGCTACCATCGCTGCTTTATAAGAGCCCCCAGGCACGTAATCAATTGCATCGCCTCTCAGACTGGAGGTCGCTCCTTTCAGACTAGACCCAGCAGACCGTGTATTCCAACCATCCTCCTTTTTGACAACTGCCTCCTTTATTATACCAGCCCTTCCTGTCTCATCGCCATCACGGTAAAATCTCTGCCCATCCTCCCCTAGGAGTTTTTCACCATTTTCCTTTTCAGCTGTTGGCTTCGGGTTCGTCCCCGGGAAGTAAAGATGATCGCCGTCCCTTGCCGCACCGAACAAACCTAATATGGTAGATATTGGAGTACTTAACGGTAGCTTCTCGGTCCTCAATACAATACTTTCATTTGGGTTCGTCGGGAGCGGAACTGTTATACGAAGTTTGAACCCTTCTCGTGGCGGCGGTCTTTTAGGTAGAAACGGGGGGAGAACCTTTGATTTCGAAGAAACAGAAGGAGGAGGATGCGTTTGGGTCCCACCACCGTCTTCATCTGATGATATCTCGATTGGTGAATACGAGCGGTTGACTACACGTGTAGGGCCAGGATCCTGTGTCGGAGGGTTTTTATGAATATTGACTGCAGATGAATTCTGTTTGAGATTATTACTCCTTTCGAGTAGCTTCCGCCGTAACTCGGCTTGACGGGACTTGATAAACTCGGTACCCGAAAGCGGTTCTGGGGCTACATCTCCATTCTTTGCAGCTGTCGAGGTAGTAGTTGTATGGGGCGGAGGTGGCGGTGGTAATTCAATTGGTGCAGGGGGCTGACGATTTGCAATTGGGCCAACGGTTGTAGGAGGGGTGACCCTTTGCCGCTTCCCTTTTCCATCAACAATGGCAGCTTGTCCCTCAACCAGCGGTGAGGATTTCCGTTTCCGAACCCCACTCTCCAAGAGTTTACGCCTTAACTCGGCTTCTAATGCGGCAGGGGTCTTAGAAGACTTGACCTCACCCTCTTTGATTCGGGGGGATATCGGTGCAGGGGAAACAGGCAAGGCTTCTCCTCCAATTGGTGATTGTACCGGTACGGAGATTGGAGACTGTGGATGAGAAATACGAGGCAGACGTGGAGGAGGAGGGGGAGGAGGAGGAGGAGGTCTTTCAATTTGTCTCGAAAGTTTCTCGCGCAGCTCAGCAGCACTAGTTGAAGGTTTTGGTTGGGGTTTGAGTTTTGGCGAGAGTGTAGCCGTTGAACCACCGCTACTACTGCTACTACTACTTGTATTGCGTCTTGGTTCTAGTTGTTGTTTCGGTACTGGCTCGTGTTTCTTTATTTCCGGCTTTTGATGTGGCTCGGGTCGGTGGTGCTGTTGAATCTCCGACGTGGTTTTCTGTTCTCGCTGTTGTGATTTCCGACCGCAGTCTTGCGGCAGTGATGTATGAGGCTCGTCCGAAGGCAAGCCTATCGACGCCAGTAATTTATCGTAGAAGGAATCCGCGTCTGTCATCGCTTCTATTGTGTCTTCCTCTAAAGATATCCCACTATTATTCCAGAAAACTACAGCAGCAGCTCAGTCTTCCTCTAGCCCTAGGCAAAGAAGCCACTAATATTGCATTTACTTCTGTTGATACACGGAAGGAATGTTTATTGTCAGCGAAGCCCTGCCAAACGTTTGAGCTATCACAAAATAGAATTGAGGGGAAAAGAGGAGGAGATAAAGATAAAAGAGCCCGAGAAACAGAGATGGAAAGGGTCTCTTTCAACGCTGCGAGAGGATAGGTTTTGTGAACCGTTTGGGATCAACGCACCCCAACGGATCGGATAGTAAGCGAAACAAAAAAAAAATATCTATGGTATGTGAGCGACCAGGGAAGCAGAGTCGACCAGGCAGAATGTAGATGGTGAAATAAGGTAGTGTGGTGAGTAAGGCCAGGACAGAGAGCAGGAAAGAAAGAGATGATATTCACTAAGATCCTGTCGAGGGGAAGGCGCATTAATTGGGACACCAAGTGGCTTGTTCGTGCGTTGCAGTGGGGTTTCTTTGTGGCAGTGCAATGCCTACATGGTGCTGTAGCTTCTACTAGTAGTAGATGAGTCGACCTCGAATACGCGGAGATAGTATATGTACTTACCCCTCCTTTTTACGATTTCATAAGTCGGAGTTAATAGTTACAGGCGCTAGCATTCGAACATATCTTCCTCCAGCTCTTTCAGACTTAGCAAAATGGGGCTCCTATCACTTCCTCCTGAACTTCTTATCCAAATCTGCTCTTACATCCCTCTCCCTTCAGCATATTCTCTATAGCTACTCCTCGTGAACAAGCACTTGTTCCACTTGTTATACGGCCATATCACACACTCGTCATTTGTTCCATGGAGGAAACATTACTTCAAGTACCAGCATATATACACGCGTGTTTGCAGAGAAGCAGATAAATACATAGCACAAAAGCAAGATATATTGATGCGCAATGGGGACCAGGCCACAGCCCCTCTTAGTGAGCAAGGACTAGTCGGGTTTTCGATAGAACTGGAGCTTGAAGATATTAGTCGGGAAATGGCGGGGCACCTTGGCTTGCTTCCAAAGCATAAAGATATCTCAGCTAGCAGCAGCAGCAGTAGTAGTATCGACACTAGGCCTGGCGCAATCTCACTACCTCAAATTACCATCAATAGCTTGTTCACTGCACTTGAACATGTTTCCAACCTAGAGACCGGATTCCAAAGACTGAAATCTCTAGAATGCCCGCTTCCTAGTATTATCGAGATCCTGCACAGAAAATACCCACATATAGAATTTGTCCAAAAGCTCTGCCCTGTTGCGCTCATGCCAAAATCCTCATCAACATTTACCATGCCACTCGAGACAGCAGCAACATATCGAGTCTTCACAGCATATCTCTTATTCACCTCTCTCACACCTCACGATATCCTCGTGATACTATCGGATGCATTGCTAGCCAGTGAAAAAAGCACCTACTCCATGGACTCTATTAGATGTTCCCAGGAAGCCGCATTAGTGGAATATTTCCATTTTCTACTTTTATTTCTCGCCATGTATAATTTTGATTACAGAATTCGCCACCTCGAGACTTCACCCCTACTAGACAAGAATATCAGCTTCCACGCGCAGCGAATTCTCAGCTGGAGGTTGACTACATGGATCCAGGGATACTTTCGCCCAGAAAGACCTTGACATCCGTCCCTATTTAAAATCGAGAGTGATAGTATACCCCAAACAGAGCTGCCGATAGGTCTTCTGTCGGGGAGAGAATCAATGAATACTACTCCTTCCTCCACATTTCTGGAAATGGGTTCGGCGTCTGACGGGGCATCGTCTTGGCCGGCCTTAAGATCGTCTCAAACATATCCAGCTGTCGCTCAACAGCAGCAGCAAAATCCAGCATACTTCTTGACACAAGAACAGCAGAAGGTTGTAGACACAGATATTCGCGTGGGTGAACTTATGCAAGTTATAGCGTACGGTGGGACAGGAAAGACCATATGTTTGGCGGAGTATGCAAAGAAAAGGTACGGCCTCTACACACATATTGCCCAGTTTTCAAATTGATATTTTGAAGGCCTCGTAAACGTTTCCTGTATGTTACTTCCAGTAGCATCGCCGCCCTAAATGCGGAAAAGAGGTTCCCCGGCAACATTACATGTGAGTTCCGTTTCCTGAGGGATGCTATTGAAGTGCGGCCACTTACTCTGTAAAACTCATAGGTAAACCCATGTATTCCGTCGCATATGATGCTATAGTAGCGAGTGTCTAAGATTGAGGACTCCCTTCCCGATAGCGGAAAGCCTCTCAAAGAACGGCGCCATGATTATGAACTCGAGGAGATGATTAGTGTATTGGGCATGGACGAAGGAAAAATCGGATCAGCACTTGTAAACCCACAAATGCATTTGCAACTAGGCACTAGTCATGGGCGGGAACAAACAGAAATGAAAAAAATTCCTAGCGTTAAAGAAGTTGCGTTGATGGTTCAGAGAGTGTTGGTGAAGCATTGGGAATCCAAGGATGTTGAGATTGGATCGACTAGTCGTTTGTGGAAATAGACAATATGGGACTAAATAGAGATATTATAGTAGAATGGGCGAGGCACTCTGGAATGCGATGCTTAATACAAAGTATCTCCCCCATGACGCATATACTAAGATTCTACAACTCAAAGGAGGACTGCCAGATGGATCAACTATAGGGCAGGGAGATGTCGATACGTTGGCTTTCGGAGAATACGATATCATCATATGGGATAGGGCACAGGTACTTTCCCTAAGTTTTTTTCATTAGTATGGAATCAAATGAACTGATATTGTGGGTATCAGTACTTGAGTGGTAGCGTGGTAGAGATTTTTCTTCGGCAGCGCTTGCGGGCAGGCTTAATCATATTAGGTGACCCCTATCAAAGGATTCACGGCCCCGAAAGGAAGAAAGATGAAGCTTCAGATACCGAAGCCTATAAGCCGACGTATTCTTACTATCTCATGCACTCCTTTCGTTTTGGGGATGCGATTTCAGGAGTTGCCAATTACTCTTAGGATACCTAGGGGAGGACACTGCTATCAACGGTGTTAGAAAGCATGATAGTGTGGGTGTGAGCTACTCACAGATAAGCGGGAAAATTTTGGCTCAAAAATCAATTATACTCAAGCCTGGTCCTACGGAAAATGGAGGAAGTGGGAAATACACTGTAATATTCAGGCGGGATGCTGGTAGGTTCATAATCCTCTTTATTTGCAGCCCCCGGCTTCTTTGCTAACCTTTACAAATTATAAAGATCTGATTGACTATGTCATTGAATACTGTATGCTCCATTCGCATTCTGGGCATCGGATTAGTCTCGGCACGAACTGTGGCTTTAACGGGAGTAGTCTCCTCGCTCTTCTCAGAGATGCATATACTCTCTATACTGGAAAACCCATTATACATGGCGTTCTCGCAGAATACGAAACGTGGAAAGCTGTCAATTGACCTCATAGTGGCCCCGCCCTCGTCAAAGAACCTAAGCTTCAACGTAGATTTCGATCGGCAGATTTCCTCAAAGTTCTTGAGCTTTGTGAGAAGATGGTCCTTGACGACTCCTACAAGGAAACAGAGGCAGATGTTATATTTATCACTGTTCATAAAGCAAAAGGTCTTACATGGAACCGTGTTTTCGTTCCGGATAGCGTCCTTCGGTACCGTTTTAATCTTTCGGCGGAGAACCTCAACAAGAATCAGAGATACTGGTTTTCGAGGGATAAAATGTCACTACTCTATGTAGCAGTGACAAGGGCAAAGAAAGAGCTCATCATAGGGAAAGGGATTGCGAGCTGGTTGGTAGCAAAGATGGGATTATATCGATTTTATCTTAGCCCAATACAAGGGAATGGTGCTTGTCCTTCATGTCACGACTATAGGATAGAACAACATGGTACTGTCAATTGGGAGGCTAGGCCCAAACGCGAGGGTGTGGTAATTGGCTGGGAGTATCTACTCCCACAAAAAAGCTTCGGGGTTACTGCCGACAGTTACGGGAATTCGCTCCCACAGGGTCCCAGGAAAGAAGCGGTTGCTTGCGATATCTGTGCAAAAGGTTGGAACCGTATGGCGAGGGCAGCGCATATGGAGCTCAAAAAGTTCGCAAATCCAATCACGAGAGCGCTCGATGGGCCTGATAGTGCTATGAATCAAATTATCGTCCCAAACATGCGGTGGTGGCCAGCGCGCGCGCCGGCGGGGCGCCAAAATTCGAGACTGTTCAAAACTATGTATAAGATGCAGATCGAAATGGTACAAGATTGCGATGAGACTCCGTACATGCATGTCATGCCTACGCGTACGCGCCGACTGTAATAAACATATATATAGTATATGCTTGGTTATTTACATGTACTCTATTTATTTAAGCATGTACTTGACTGTTTGGGGGTTCGGACTTTCCGGTTTTTTTCCGGTATTACAATTATAATTAAGATTTAAGTATGTCAATTATGAAAAAATACCCAAGATTTACTAGTAACTACGTACATCTACATGTGCACAATTTTGTCCAGTTGTAATTACTTGTTTGGGTAAGTATTCCAAGGAATACGAATTATTTGACGGTAGGTAGTATGTATCTGTAAGTACATTCATGTATATGTAATGCAGAAACACATTAATGGCCCATAGCTAAGAATAAATGCATCCCATAAAAAACGCATTCATAGCACTACTACATGTAGTATCGTATACTAGACGATGGATAAACACTCACTTCCAAAGCCCCAGCAATCCATCAGTATCCTTCCCCCGCACCGGATCATCTTCGGGTACCTTTTTCTCCACCAAATCCCCTCCAGGGTGTTCACCGCCATAGTTCATATCCCACTTCTTTGCTCCATCCGGGTAAGCTCCTACCATCATGAAACCGTCTTTTTCACTGATACATCTATGCGCCACTCCGGCCGGAATTATAATCACATCGCCCGCTTTTACGTCCTCCTCCACACCCTCACTAGCACTCTCCTTATCGGAAACGCCGAATCGTAGCCTCGCACTTCCAGAAAACACACCGAGAGCCTCATGCGTGGTCGAGTGATAATGGGATTGGTGAAACATGGAGTAGCGCCATTGTGGAATCCAATTATTTGACCTAAAGTGGGCTTCGATTGTTTCTGCAGTGGTTTCGGGCGGAAAGGCGGAACGGTAGAGAAGGAGCGGAAAGGCAGAGTTGGGGATGAGAGATGTGGGGGATAGATTGATCGTATGTGGTTTTGGGAAAGGCATGTTGTAGGAAGTACGCTAGGCATCTATCCTTGAAGGATTGGATCGCACTTTGTGAATGGACTGCTAGCTGCTTAAATAGTACGGTTAATAAGTGACGTCATGCTTCTTTTTATGGTAATAGTTCGATTATCATGTTGGTTGTCGTTGATTAGCTAGCGGTGATGTCGACCGGCCACCCTACAGTCTCAGGATCTACTCGTTTGACATCTACTGCAACAATCGAATCACATGTGAAATTAATAAAATCACTTATATCTAGCTACAGAATCCCGAAACGAATTAAGAAATTTGCATGTTCCAGTTGGGTTGGACCATTTTCTCATGGATCGTCAATGCAAGTAATTTACCAGGTACTCATAAACGGGTGCTATTGTACTTCCCCGTGACTGAATTTGTACATGGCATGACATGATCTCTATCTTACATATGTACATGTACTTATCTCGATCTAGATACCATGGTCCTTATGTAAATCAAATTTGGTGTTTAGATCTTGGTCGGTTTTATGGCGCCATACAAACTTAATTCCGACGACCGCCAATTTAGGATATAGTCCACGCGCTACAACCTGTTGTTGCAATGATTGGGAAAGCAATGTATATATACACCTCCCCAGTACTGAAACCGAGGTGCTATCAGATCACATGTGATCACTCGACCGAGTCTCTTGGAAGAGAGATTAGCGGTTGGTATTTACCAGTGGCTACGGCTGTCTATCGGGGTACTTTAAATGGATGTTTTGAGAGACTGTAGAGAGTATTGGCCTATAACTGGAAATTTGCACGCCGAACTGGCCAATTATATACGGCTAAATAACTGGTTTTTTTTATTTTATTTTGATATCGTCATGAAAGGGAAATGCAGAAGGCAGTGTCTAGTTAAACCCAGGCGAATAAAGATAATATCTCGAAAAGCAAATTTAAAACAGACCTACATTTATCACATCAAAGAAAAGTTTAATAAAAGAAAGACATCAACTCCTGTCCCCCCATATCCCAGCAACCCTTTCTAAAATCGCAAAGTAGTCTGTCTCAATCTTCCACCGACACCCTCAGCATACATATATGGGGATAAAACAATATGCCAACATCAACTACAAGTGGCCTTTTGTCCCCAACGCTTCATAGCCGCTCAAAATCTCCCTATTCTCATGCGAATCCTCTTCAAACCCGGTGACTTCCGCAATAGCTTTCGCCAACCCCTTCTCCTTGATGAGAGCTTTCAAATCCTCGCTCTGCGAGTCATCCGAGTTCTCGTACCGCAAAGCTGCGGCAATCCCCTTGATTAGGTTGTCGTACTTCAATCCGTACTCCTCCGCCATCTTTACAGGTCCAATCAGACGGTCATCGGGAGCAAGTTTCCGCATAGGCTCACGCCCAACACGAACGACATCGTCGTGGATGTATGGGTTATGGAATCGGCTTTGGATCTTGTCGATATACTTTTCATGCTCTTTCGGGTCAAAGCCATGCTTTTTGCAAAGCGCAGCCCCAGATTCGAGCATAGCTCCCCTCACAATCTCCTCGATCCTCTTATCACCTAGCGCTTCATCAACGGTCGAGTAGCCCTTCAAGAAGCCTAGGTATGCACATATCGCATGGCCGGTGTTGAGAGTGAATAGCTTGCGTTGGACAAAGGCGATAAGGTTATCAGTCAACTGCATCCCTGGGATATTGAGCTTGGGACCCTTGAGGGCGGTCTCGTCGACAATCCATTCGTGGAAATTCTCGACACCGACTGCGAGGATACCCTCGCTTTGTTCGCTAAATGGTGGGACGATGCGGTCTACGGCGCAGTTTGGAAATCCTATCTTCTCCGCAACGTATTTCTTGTCTTCTTCTGAAGTAAGGTGTTTCAGGACTTCGTCGTGGAGTAGGGAAGATGCGCCAGTTCGATTTTCGCAGGCGATTATGTTGAGCTCGGAAGTTACGCCAGCAGCACGGCGTGCTTTCAAACCTGTTGCAATGTTGATTGCGACCTTTGGTAGTACGTTGGGACCGACGGCGGTGGTAATGATCGAAGCTTCGGTGATAATCTTTTTGACGTCTGCTTCGTTCGTTGTGAGGATTCCAGAAACATGGTCGACTGTATCTGTCTTTCCTTTGTGCTCCTGGTCGAGTATGTGGATTTTGTAGGAATGGTCCTTATTTAGGGCGGTGATGAGAGGTTCGGCGACATCGGCAAAAGTGACTTCGTAGCCTGCGTTTGCGAGAAGATCGCCAATGAAGCCACGGCCAATATTGCCTGCACCGAAGTGAAGGGCTTTCTTTCCCGCGTTTGGAGACATTGAGAAGATGGAGGAGAAAAGGTGTTTCAAATGCTTTAAAAACTTCATTGTAAGTACTCGTGCTTGTCGATACATATTTGTGTTTGAGGGTTTTACTTAGATCTGTAGAATCTGTGAGAGTAACTAACCAGGTTTTATAAGTCTCGCAAACTGATAAAGTCCAATATTATAAATCCTCGTAATAACAAAGATCTGATTCACATGTGAAATTTGTTGTCAGTGAGATGTTTTTTACACCGAATAACGCAAACAAGCCACTAAGCTTGATATCTAATTAAAATATCGCCGCACGCAGGAAGGCTTAGAAGAAGGAAAGAGAGAGGTGTTTTTACCGATGAGTTTCTTCTAATTGGTCGAACACGAAACCCTCAACGCAGTTGTCGAACGACTTTTATCTTCCGAGTCAATCGAACCAGCGATGGCGGGTGTAGGTAGGCTGTCAGAGATAGCTAAGTCAAAGGCGCCTTAGCTAAGAAAAACGATTGATGGTTTGATCTTTTTTCACTTAATCGGGTCAAGGTGGAAGTTTGGGGTATGGTCAGAGAAGATAAATAAAAAAAAGTTGTCAAGGGACCGAGAGGCCCTTAATTAACCACGAGGCCATGGGCTGATTTTCCCTTATCCCCTCCCTGCACTCGCGCAGGTACGTTGGGGTTACGTCAAGAAGACCGAATCGTTTTTTTACCGCAACGTCATTATCACTATAATCCGCGCCGGCAAGCCGTAAGCTGGAAAAGCAGGGCATTTTTTGCGCAGATTAGACAATAACTTTATGAAATTCAGAATTGTGATATCGGCTGCTGGTGAAAGACTCCAGACAGGTAAAACGGAGCTCTTGTACCTTGGCACTAGTTTATATGTACACCTAACCCTACATCGGCTGGCTCAAGTAACTGGCCTGTTATTCAAGTAACTGAGTGAAACAACCTCGCCAGTGCGTAGGTTCGTTTCCCACTTTGGACTTTGGGGGATGGTGAATTGATCACTCACCATCCTTTTTAATTTTGCTCTCTTAATTCTCGAATGAAAATTATTTTATGTGCCCCATCCGGCTGCATCTCCCAGCTACATTTTAATTGCTTTACATCTCCCATCTACCAGAATTAATAGATCATGATTCATGGTTTGAAGCGAATCCAAACGGACCCTTAGATTATGAGGCCCAGGTTCCAGGCAAGCTTGCCCGTGCAGCGCATCGTTGATCACGAACCCCAGTCCAGGGTCGCGCTGTTGATCTGTTACAAGGGTGATGACGACGTCAGCTGCTTACTTTGGCGAAGGACATCTTAGATGAACACATGTGAGACTTCGTAGGGCGGACATAGATCCTCTAGAGTATACCGTCATCGTTACCTGTTTACCCATGAGCATCGCGGGTAGATGATAATTGACATCGGCCCGTAAAGACGCCAGGGGAACGGGATGCAGCGGCTACTTTTCACTTTCCATGGCAACGGTCCCCTCACCAAAATGCAGCCTTCCCAATCATTACCCCGCAAGCGTCATTATTTATTAGTAAGCCATTTTGACAACTCGTCAAGGTGCTACCTTCCCTTCCCCAATACACATCACGAGACAAGACTTAATTTGAGCAAGAGAGTGCCAGTGAAAAGGCTTTTATAGGCCGGACTCAACACTTGCACCTCAGCACTAGATACGTAGATTTTCAATTACTGGCAATATTAATTATCCTATATACAATAGCTAAGCCTACTAGTATATAGACTGCGTATTACCTGTCTTATTTGGCATCAAATGACCACGATTAAGCTGGGCATGAGGCAGCTATTGGTTTACA